GGGAAGTCTGCTCTGAGTTAAGCACATAAAGACAGGGAACTAGTATGAGTATCAAAATGTTCATCAGTTTAAATGCTTTTTTTAAAAAAAGGGATTGTCTGGGAATACAGATTTTTTTTCAGTGAGGGTGATTATCTTTTCTTCAATTAGGGCAATAACTTTAACCACTATTTCACATTAGTAAGCTAGTTGTGTAAACTTACATACACAGACCAAGATTTGTTTTGGCTTCTAGTGCTACCCACATAAAGGCATTCTGTGGCTGTTCCGTTTTTCTTTCCTTAACAAATGTTTGTGGTCAGAAAAAAGACAGAAAATAGAAAGGGAAAAGATGAAAGGGTTAGAAGTAGAATACACTGTCTTCCAGATTTGCTCTTAAAATTTCATGAATAAGGCAGGGCAATTGCACAATAAAAAACTTGCCTGAAAATACATTTGGTCTAGTTGACACATCAGTAAAAATCATTTTTTGTGTATTTATTGTAAATAGTAAGTATTCTGTGATGCTATTTTTAAATGAAAGTTTCTTTTACAAGCTTATAAAATGGATACGGAAACCACTGTACCCCCCTCCCCCTAGAGTCATGAAAACAGTGGGATCATCTGACAGAAAACATTAAATTATATCAACTAAATCTCAACTTACCAAGTATTACACTTCTGAAGGTTTGGCTAAGGTCTCTACAGACCTTAACTGTGCAGCTTCTGAAATATAATCACCAGCAGTGTTTGGGCTGCACCTGGACTACCCTGATAGCTGGTCTCTTCCTTTCTTTTCTCTAGGAAATATGCCAAGCTACAGCTCTCTCAAAAGGGCCTTTGTTAAGAAATAATTTAAAAAGTGTTTCGATGTTGATACAAAAGGAAAGGGTGCCTGGGAAATAAGGGATGAAATAATTCAGTGAAGAAACAACACAAGGGACTGAAACCTTTTTATTTACGATAGTTAAGTCTACATGAGGGACTTTCTCATATGTGAGAAAGGAGGAATATTGCAAGTAGCAGGAAAAAAATCAAACTGGAAAGTGAGATGAAGAATCTACAGGAGCTTCCCATACTCTTGGATTGGCATTTGCAGACAAGGGGTTTGAATTGCTGCTGATAAAATGTTGTGCAGCTTCTTTTACCCAGAAAATTTTATGTACCAAAGTTCCAGACTCAGTCATACCAGTCAGTGCTGATAACCTAACTAGCAGGTGTGAACTGTAAAGTCTTCCATAGGGTTGGTCGGGAAATCCAGGCAGAGTAAAGTTTTTTCTTCAGGCCCTTAAATAGAGAATTTGACCGAAGAGCCAAAACTGTCTTATTTCCTCAAGGGCGCAAGCTCATTTGTTAGTAGCAGGATCGCCAAGTTCGTAGTCAAGGCCGTTCAATTGAGAACTTATTTTATAGAACAAATTGGGTAATATGCACAGTTGATGAATTTATTTGAATGTACCTCATTTTATAACTTTGTATATTTGCCTTTAATTTTGATAAGGCCAGTTGGCTAATCAATAAAAGTGAATGAATGAGAGAGTGAATGAATGGTATGAACTGTGGGTAGAGACTTGTGAGAAAGGTCTGAATGTTAAGTGCATTGCAATGTCAGTGTACTACAACAGCCAGATGACAATCTAGTACAAACCCAATCTTGCTCATGGAAGAGAAGACAAGGACCATTTTCAGACTTAATGTGTTGTGTGCATGGAAATTATTTTTATTTCTTAATTTTAAAAATGTGTATATGTGTATTCATTTCAAAACCACATGTTCATGTCCATTTCCTTGTATATATTTACATGTAGAAAGTCAATGTATGTGAAGCAAGATTGGGATTGTCTATGTGAATTATAGAATGGGGCCTGATTTGTGAAACGCATTTTATTTTTTTTCCAGATATGCTGCCATAGAATTGGGATGGATAACCCATGGGCTGCAAAACATACATAGTTCTGTGGCCTTCCTTTGGCCCATAAAGCTCTCTAAGATTCGGCGACTGCTGAATAACTGTGGCAGTTGCTGAATACTTGTCATTGTTACCTGGCATAATGGCAGATCCCCAAGATAGACCCTTGGACTACTGGAAAGTAGTTATTATGCTGCTAGGCTCCATGATCTCCTTAAATAATCTTTGTGCAGCATAATGTTTCTTTGAAACAAAATAAACAAACAAAAGGCAAATACAGTAGTGTCAAAAAGCACAAGTTCTCCCTTAAGTCATCTTAAGGGAAGTAAGCATGTTCTGAAATAAGGAATGGTCTCTGACACTAATTTACTCAGCAGAAAGTACAAGGTAGCTCTGAAAGAGTTGCAGGCTTTTTGCTGTTACTTGGGCAGCAATACAGCAGCCTGTAGGACCATCTAGCAGCCTCGTACCCTTTGACCCAATCCTTACAGCCTGAACACGCCATCCAGAAGCAAGTAAAGAATATAGTAGGCACCCTAAGGAATGGTTGCAAGCAGGTACAAATGGCTATGAAGATAGAGTAGAAATTGGAAAAGTGCAAAAGCGTTAAGAGACAGCATTAAAATAAGGTTTGGGTCAAAGACTCTGGAGATATGGAGGATAATTGGCTACCTAAAACAATGCTGACAAGCATTTAAGGGTATAATGGATGACAAACTGAGTCAACCGTTTTATATAGTGAAGTGAAAAAGAGCCTTGTATAATTTTTACATTAGCAGAAATGTTTGTGTCCAGGAATCTATTAAGTAACTGCAATTATTAATAGTCTACCTAATGTAGTAGAGCTAAGTTTAATTTCTGATTGGGTTCATCTCTTGGAAATATTTTCAGACAAGATCTCAACTCTAAAATAATGAGTAGTTCACGTATCATACTAAGCCATATTGTAGTTTGTTTATGGCTTGGTAAACAAATGGGATCAACATAATATATGAGTGCTACCAATTACCTGTATGACACATCATGTTAAGCCATAATGTAGTTTGCTAGGTTTTAGCTTATTTTGCATGAACTCAGTCAATTTTGTTTGCAACTCATGTTTCAAGGTTTAATGGAGAGTTACAAAAAGTGTGCTGCATGGAATCTACTACCTCCCTTTTGTGGTCCCCAAAATTCCCTAATATTTTTGCCCCCTTCTTTTTTAATGGAGGGATTGCAGAAGCATAAAGCACCCACTTGAGAGCTTAACTTTTACTGCATTGCATTTACTCTCCGAAATGGATCCTGTCCCCACCTAGTTTTGGTGTGTGTCCCTTGAGCTAATGGGACTGTGTATTTCTGGCTTAGTGTATTGTGTGATCCAACTTCGGTACAGCATATTCAGTGTCATCTGTGAGTAGCAAGATGTTTGAATGAGACTGTAGGCAAAAGTGCTGCTGGGCAATTATTCAGTAACTTCTGCAGTTTTGAACAAGTCTAGTGGCTCTACATTTGTAGTGCTCTAATTAGAGATAAGCAGGGATGGTGATTAGGTGAATTAAGGATACTGTTAAAAAACAGCAAGAGGACAAACAGGTGCATGTGACATATTTGGCACAGGTCTAGAGTTATGGAAGAGGGTTAGGCAATCCAGTTGCATAAAGGATCATTTCCCAGCTGGAAGGTGACAGGACTTAGGCTGTTAGAAAAGGATCCTGAAAATAAAACCCTAGCTAAAACTAGTCCCCACATGGAGTAGAGATTCCCCGGCTTCCACTTTTCTGAATCCTCTGGCAGCTGTCTGTTATATGGCAATATCTATGGACTCATATTTTGTTGTAGAAACAGCAGAACCTATTTTGTTGTAGAAACAGCAGAACCTATTTTGTCACATGGACTGTGGGATCTATTCTAAATATATTTTGCAGAAAGCTGTGATGAGTAAATTGAGGCCCTTATTCTGAAGTAGAATATACTTGGCATAACAAGTGTTATACTTGGACAAACAAGATAAACATTGTCTTATGTCCTGCTTGTGAGTTTCTGGAAGCAATTAGTTGGTCATCAGCATTGGTCCAAGGTATTTCACTGCCTGAGACAAATATGGTGCACCCTCTAACATTATATGTGCAAGAGCCATTAGACTGGAAGTGGAATTTTATTTCAGCACCAGTGACAGCATCTTTCACAGTACCTGAAGACAACAGCCTAGCTCAGAAAGCACAGGAAAGATGTAGTTATTGTATCCACAGCTCTCTCTTCCAACAACTTCAGCTCAAGATAGCTGTATATTAGTCTAACCTCCTGGGACTTTAATCTTGTGGTAAAGGAAACTATCTGGATGTTAAATGCTTGGGACTGTGTCTGTAGCATCTCCAGGGACAGAATCCCATACTGCAGGACTGGGGAGGAATTCTGTCCAAGATTTTAGAGGACTGTTGCCAGCTTGAAGACACAATACTGGACTGAATTGGCCAGTAATATGAGATTATAAACCTGTGCCATTCCAAAAATACAACATGGGAATAATTGAAACCAGAACTATAGTTGCTAATAAGATGAACACAAAAGTCAGTCACAATCTCAGAATCCATACTACTTTTTTTTTTTTTTTAGAAGAATATGATGTCCTCCAGGAATGCTGGACACTATCTTCCATCATTTTTAGCCAGATTGTCTGAGTTATGTTGGCTGGATGGGAATCAGAATGCAGGAGATCTGGAGGGCGTTACCAGGCTGGGGAGTATCCTAAATTTGAGGAGAAATTCAAATTGGAATGTAAATAGCATTTCTCCTTCAAATGTAATCAGCTCCAGCCAGTTACTGCCCTGCTTCCATTTCATTCTTCACTTTATATACAGGTAATCCCCAGTTTAAGAACGAGTTCCGTTCCCAAGGTCTGTCCTTAAGTTGAATTTGTACGTAAACCAGAACAGTATTATTGTATGATACTGTATAAGTAGTATTGTATAATGAACCCAAACCATTGTGTATTTAACTCGAATCATTGTGTATTTCACTCAACTTTGCTATACTGGGCTCCATTCTTAACTATGGGGCGTCTATAACCTGGATGTTCTTAACCCGGGGACTACCTGGACATAATATAATGTTCCTCTGTGTTCTGCTACAGGTGGAACCTCATCCAATGGTCAGTTCAGAACTCTGCAGCAACAGTTTAGTTCCAGATCCCAAACCGATGGCACAGATCACAAAGGTTTGGTAAGTAGAGCTGCTTCTTTGCTTGTTTGCTTGCTTGCTTATTTAAGCAATTTATATGGCCGCCCAACTCACGGTGACTCCGGGTGGCTTGCAGGAATAAAAGTCCCAAATACGAAACCTACCACCCCCTCCCCAACCCCCTGGTGACCACAAAACATTTATACTAGCCATTTGATGGGCTCCGGACCAACCTGGGATCCCCAGGCCCGCTGGCACAACCATGCCTTCAGGGTTGCGGAAGAACATCAGGGTGGGGGGCAGTCTTATCTCTGTGGGGATCGTGTTCCACGGAGAGGGAGTCACCACGGAGAAGGCCCTTCTTCTCAGTCCCACTAGATGGACCTCCTTAATAGGGGGGACCTATTAATAATAAGAACATTTAACTGCACTTTATTCCCATGGTTATTTATTTGTCAGTGTTAAAGGAATCTGATTTGGGGGAATGGTTTATATGCACATATGTCCCTTCTGTTGCTGACCTCCAACACTACAGCCTTTTAGTTATGATATCATATGATACTCTTGTTAACCCTAGTTATAGTGTTAGGGCAAGCAACACCTATGCTTAAGGTTCAGCACAAAGTAGCGTAGATGTTATTGAGAACAGCCTGTAGGCCCCAGATTCCCTGTAGCAGGTGCTCATTAGTATATAGATTAGATTGTTTCAAAATATCTCAGCTGGTCTTATAACTGGCATGAAGGAAGTATGTGTGTATGTGTGTGTGAGAGACAGAGAATATTTATCAGCATTTGAAAATAAGTATTAACCTTTCCTTCCTTCTTTCCTGCCCCTTGCAGCTGTACCAGCCAGTTCGCAATAAAGGTTACAATTCTGTGAAGACTACCAGCTGGTCCTCCCGGTCAGCAGTGGATCTCAGACCCAATTCTAGAATAGCCGCTATCAGCAATGGCACTGGTCCAAAGTGTCCAGCTTATGGCACAAATTACAGTTCCACTAACCGGCCCAGGTCTTTCATTGACAAGAACTACCGGAACCTCCAGAACTATGACACCATGTCCTTGCATTCCCTGCGTCTAGCAGATGGGCTATGCAGCCCTGGGGGTGTGGATGACCACTACAGCTTAATGTCTGACGTGGATCCACTGACCCAAGCAACTCTCTACAAAAACAGGGGTGGTGGTGGCTTCCACAAATCCTACACCTTTGAGAGGCAGATGAGCGCCGGCTCTAACGCTTGCACAAAGCGGCCTGCTGACTGGATGGATGGTATAGTGGTCCCACAGAACAGGACCGTCATCCGTGCACCAGCCATGCGCACTTTGCAACGTTTCCAGGGCAATAATCGCTCACGATTTAGTGCAGGCTCCTTCAGTGGCACTCAGACCTCTCAAGGAGGGCTTGGGAATACTTACGCTGCAGTGGAACGCAGTACCCGTGCCCCTTCTGTGCACAGCTTCACTGAATCCAACCACCATTTGCAAGACCTGCGTGCCATTGACATGTTTGATGGTCAAAATACACTGATGTCTCAGCAATCCTTCTCTGGCGGGTAAGTGTGCTGTGAATTTGTAGTGGTGCAGCACTCTGTACTTAATTGAACTGAGGAAACAGGAACAGACAGATGGCTTTCACCTACTTAGCCTACCCTGAATTCCAACCAAATAAATTCCCATTAAACTTGACAGTGGAAGCTGGGAATGATATGACTGCAGTTCAGTCACACAAAGTAGTCCTAGGCTGAGAAACCCCGCCATAGGGGCATGGGACATCTAATTTTTGTATATTGTTTTTTTGCCCTCGGTGCTCCTTATTGCCATATCTGGAGGTTAGGGTACCTGATGATCTGTTATGCCTAATGGACTCAGGTGCAGAGAATGCCATCGCTCTCTGGGTTCTGCCTTTGCTGAGCAGAAATCAGCCTAAAATAACCAGCACAGCGGCAAGGAAAATAATAGGTGTTATGTTCTGTGTGCCCCCTGATTTCTGACTTTCATATATGGGAGTTGTAAATGAGGTTATTCTGATCCTGAAATCTGAATCTGGGCAAGTGTTAAAATCTTTGTCAGCTTCTTTACAACTTACCAGGTGTTGGTATATGGTATTTTTCTATAGCACATGTGTTATTTCAATTATTCCTTGTTGGCTAGCTGTAGGTGTAAGAGTTGAGGTTGGCAAGGTAAGAACCATTGGTTCCCAGGCTAGAAATGGCCATTATGGAAACACATCTCAACCTTTCAAGGTAACAAGGTGGTCCAGCAGGTTTCCATTAATTGACGAAGAAGCCTAGAACTGAAACCACTGGGTATGAATGAATGAATTTTTTATTTCTCTCCCTCCCCTCCTCCCTCCCTGACATCTTTGCACTGCAGTGGGCAAGCAGGTGATGGCACAGAATCTTAACTTCTTATGATAGCACAAAATCTGAATTTCTTCTGGAGTTCTGCATTCTGAGAAACTTCATTTGTAGTTGTGAAAAGTAAATCAAGTTTCTAGCTCTTATGTAAGGAAAAAAGGCTTAGATAAGGGAATATTGAATAGCAAGAGCAAAGCTTGTAATAAGAAGAAACTTGATGTTCTTACATTTATGATCTGTTTATTCCAGCTCTGTAATGCTATTTTGCCAGGCTCTTTTCTTATTATGTTCTCTTCCCTCCTCCCCTTCCCCCCTTTTTTTAAAGCAAGACCTTCTTTTGACAAGAAATTCAAGTTCTTTATATGCCTCAGACCAGCTAGCAAGGCAATTATGTATATAAATGTATATATGTAGTTTTGCTTAGTAGATATTTCATGGGGGTTTTTAAGCACAACTGTCAGATGGATATTGTTAGAAATCTCTGTAAAGAGGGGAAGATTTGAAACTGCATAATGTCGTCTCTAATTTAACTTTGGATTTCAGGTTTGATGACATTGATCTTCCCTCTGCGGTGAAATATCTGATGGCTAGTGACCCCAATCTCCAGGTGCTTGGGTCTGCTTACATCCAGCACAAGTGCTATAGTGACAGTGATGCCAAGAAACAGGTGAGGCTAAGGTGGATGGATTCAGATCCAAAGGGATGCCTCCCAATATTGTTTGCATGTTTACTCAGTGATGACTCTCCTTTAAGAGATGGTGCCATCGTTTGGTAAAGCAGTTCTGGTGAGTGGGGTTCTTGCATGTTAAGAGGGAAGATTATTTGGCTGAGAAGAAGACAGTTTACTTAGAGATAGGATGAGATGGGTACTGCACAAGGACCCATATCCCCCCTCCCTTCTCTCTCCTTCTAAGATGTATACCACTCTCCCTCTTTCTATAGGCTCGCAGTCTCCAAGCCATACCCAAGCTGGTGAAGCTCTTCAACAGTTCCAACCAAGAGGTGCAGCGCCATGCAACTGGTGCCATGCGCAATCTTATTTATGACAATGCTGAGAACAAGCTGGGGCTGGTGGAAGAAAATGGAATCTATGAGCTGATGCGCACTTTGCATGAGCAGGATGATGAATTACGCAAGAATGTTACTGGTGAGTGAACATTGTTGTAGACAAATTGTGGACAGAGGATTGGGAACATGGATCTGTAACCCACCTAAGAAATAGAAAAATTAAAGAGAACTAGGATAAGTCATAATTTTTTTCTAATTTCAAAACAGTCTTTCCTTTCCACCCCCACCTGCCCCAAGGTAGAATCGAAATGTATTCCAGTGTTTCAGAAAAAGCAAAGACTAGTAACCCGTTATTATTGGCCTTAGGGAAGCTGCCAAAAAGAGTCTTCCATTGAAAAAAAAAATATCTTGCCCTACTGTTACATTTGATTTCTGCTGTATTTTAACATAAGGGTCAAAAGAGGAGAAATCTTAGTATAATGACACTGATCCTTGTGATTAATAGTCAAATGTTACAACAGGAATAAGCAAGAGGAGTCTTAGAGAAATTGTTCTTAATGGGAAATGGAATAAAGGTTCTGGCTTTTATTCCCATATTAAAAAAATATTACTGCATGAACTGACTGAAAGTGATTCAGTCTTTATAAAACAATGCTAATATTTTATTTATTTGCAATCTTCTGTTCAGCCAAATAACTATCAGGGTAAATCACATTAAAATACAACCAATAGCATCACTTTAATCTATAAAAATAGCTAAACAGGGGAAGAGTCATGAGACAGATGAAGCCTTCCTCCCACGGCTGTTGTTAAGATTTCATATAGAGTGAAACCTAGTTTTAATGGATGATTTGTGTGGAGGTGACATCTGTTATTCCAGAATGTCCATTAAATATGAAGGTATGTTGTCATGGTCATTTATGTTATTTACACAATATAGCTACATAAATGGCATAAATGATGTAATTTGTTTAATATAATCATGCAAATGATGAATTACTTCAGATGTTGTAAAGTTAAGGTAAATTTAAGATGTAATAGACTTGTCTGTTACTTTGGAGGGATGTCCAAATGTCCAGAGAAACTTTTAGCCTGTTGTTGTGATGGAATGGAATTATGAAGGCCAAACTCAGGGAGGGAAACATGCTCTTTCGTC